ACGCAACTTTTCGGCGCCGAGCTTACGCGGAGCGCGGCGTGTTTTTCTGACACTGGGAGACGGGCAAGAGAATCGTAAATTGCCGTTTCGTCGCGCGCGGCAATGGGCGCGACGTTTCCTTAATTTGCACTACCCTTTCGATTGGAGCATCGGATTTCATGTAGACAAGGACATGGTGGACACTTATGTCTATTTTTGGTCATACATTGTCTATTCTCGACCAATACCACCTAAAATCGTCGTCATTAGCGGGCGCGACGTCGCACGCGACGCCCACTGGCGCGGCGAATTACGATTCTCTTGCCACATACCCTCTGACACCCATCCACGACCCGTTGGCCCTCCAACTATCTCATCACTGATTTGTGACGTATAAGCTGGATGGTTGGCGAAGGGGGAAAAGAGCAATTTTCATGGCCTTTTCACAAAGACAGTGCCGTTTGTTGAGTTTTACTGGTAAGGGACTGAATGTGCTTGCTCAACCGCTTTGGGTTAAGAATCGTAGCTAATTTATCCGGAAGACGGACAAGAGGGAGGCGGTCGTTTGCCGCGGTCAGTTGCTCTTTACATGCTCGGACAAGTAAGGCTACGCTCCTACCAAGTTGGAAAACTCGTCCGGATCAACTTCTCGAGCTTGTTTACAGGTTTTATTCCTTGACACGTAGACTTAGTAAGTGCTGGCCTCGGTGCTCATTTTCTCAGCCGAACCACCTTATCTTAGAGAAATGCACCAGTCAGGATCTTCGGACGAGTTGCTCCCACCAGAAAACTTGCCTGGCGTGTCCTGAAATGTCGGTAGCAAAGAGATCGCGCCAAAAACGACGTAACCCCAGGCAGAAAATTCGTAAATGTGTGGGTGTCATGCTGTGCGTAATGTATACGTCCTTGCCTGACGTGACAAATCCCTAGATGATGCTTGAGTTTCATCGACTGAAGCAGCCAGAACCGATGATTCAAGTGGAGCCAGAGTTCATGATGCTAAATATCGAATTTCTCGTTTTCTTAACACTCAAAATACCAAGCAGTACAACTCGTCTACCTCGCGCGGCATCGCTGGGCACACCCACCACTGCGACATATTACGGTTGTCTTGTCATACCCAATACCCTACCTCACCCCCCTTTTGATAGGGAAGTATAGGCCTTACTCATCTCAGAACAGTGAAAACGATTCCGGTCGAAACAAACTCCGTTATCCAAGGTCGAAATTACCTGTTTCAAACTTCGCTACTATCGATCGATTGCGCCTCCCATTTCCGGTCACTTCACTTCCGGTCTGCAGTCTGTCACATTCAACCGTCCCGGCGAAGGCGGGTTGTTTTGATGAAATTCCTGTTCAGTTGTTTTTTTATTACTTTGATCTCTTATCGCCAGTTTATCTTTATCAGTGGTTTTAATTTTTATCGAACTTTATTTTTACGTATTGTAGCGAATCTTCCGGTCATATCGACTGGTCTTCTTCTGATTTCGGTTGCTTCACCGAGCAGCTTCTTCCGCTTAAGGCAAGTCTTCCTCAGTCTCTGGTCATGACGAAGTGAAATTAACCACAAGGAACTTTGGCATGTCCTTGTTATATTTCGAAACCAGCGATTGATTTCCATTTACGGAATTGACCTCTTGTCTTTTGCTAGAACTTTCCTTGTGGCTGTCATTTTGAAACTTTGTACGCAAAATATTAGATCTTATGGGTCATTGAAACTGCCATCTCTACCGAAGAGCGTTTTCAGGTCATCACTGTAAGTGTTAACCTCGATGTTGAGTCTTCCCAGTATATTCGACATTTTGTCGAAAGTCGACAATCATCCAGCTGAGGACTTCATTGATCGGCTTAATTTTGGAGCTTCCGTATATTTACTGGCATTCTTTGTATTAATAACTGGCTCCAAGCAACATTTTGGTAATCCGATCCAATGTATGGCACCTCCAGAAAGTCCAGGTACAGAAAAGGGATGCTGTACAGTCCTGTTCGCTGCGGATACTGGGGCATACTAGGTGGTCAGGGTTTGACGCGGTCCCAGGCCATTTTCCACCAATTGTTGTCACTTGCTTGCTTCAACAACTTGTGGGAAACGGGTCGAGCCTCTACTCAAAGGCCTCAGCATCCGCAGCGAACAAGACTGTACACAAACTATTAAATTCACCTCAACACTTTTCTAGACTCATGGGTACATTACTATCATGACTACTGTTATATACAAGACAAGTTGAGAATTTTCGACATGAATGTAGACAAATCTCTTGCATATGAATATGAAGCTAAACAAAGGTTTGTTGCTTTGGCTTTCTGATTCTCTGTATATTCAGTTGAGAAGTGAGAAATGCGTGTTCTATCACAAAAAAGGATATTATGAAAGCAACAGTCGAGCCTCAAATGTCTGATAGACAGGACTACGTAGGGCGGTCCTCAGCAGGGAGATCGTATTTGTATTTGGTCGCTGGTGTGAGGGAAAGTCGTATTGGGAGCTAGGCAATTTTTCTCGATTGTTAGAGGAATCTTCTTGGAGGTGTCGTTTCTGCGGAGTGTTTCCACAACGCAAGACATGCTCTGCTAACAGGTATCTCTCTAAAAGAACTGATGTGACTGTGACACTAAAAATCAAAAAGCCTGTCTTGTCTTTTCCCTAGCGAAAGGTTATTGCGTTCCGGAGGGAGGTTTGATTTTGCGCTACAGTCATGCATCGTCTCCACGGGCAAGCAAAATCGTTACTTTAGTAGGAGTGCAAACTCTGAGCACAACTCTAGAATGCAGACCGCCGCAGTGAGGCTCCTCCCAAAGCACAGTCACTCAGATGTGGCTCCATTCGGTAACGGCGAAAAAAGATTTCACTCGGACACATAGCGTTTTTTTTTGTCGGGCATGGCTACTGTTTCTGTCGATATATCGCTTGATTGAGGGGTAGTCGTTAAAGGAGCGCAGTAGTACCAACACGGTGCAGCGTCATTATGTGTGAAATGGCGCTACGGGCTCTGAACGACAGCAGATGAAGCGAAAATGTGCTCGCATCATTGTTCTCAGCCTGTAGTCGCTTCAGACACCATCTCGTCAGGGTCTTGTTTTGACGAAGGCGCATCTTTGCCCATTTCTTTAGGGTTGCTTTTTATAGGAAAACTCCAAAAAAACTTCATCTCTTTTTTCTCTCGGTATATCTGCTGTTTCTGTTGATATATCGACTTCATTGAGGTTAGACGTAAATGGAGCGCGGTAGCACCAACAGCATGGAGCACGGTGCAGCATAATGATGTGCGAAATAGGCGGTCTGAGTGTGCCAAATTTCCCTTATACAACCCGTACGACCCCCTCCCTAATCTATCTACCATCTTCGAGAGTTTTCTTAACTTCCTAAATACCACTTTTCGCTTTGTTTCGGGCCAAATCGGGTAAAGCTACCATCTGAAAAAATCGCGGATCGGAAAAGGCCCTATCAAGGCCGGATATGATCCCTATCGATCAAGTAGGACTGCTCTCCTAAGTGACCGTCCAAGTGACCGGTTACGAACTCCACCCCGTTGAGATTGCCCTAAGGACGCTGTGTCCTGGCTTCCTGTGCCTCTGACCTTTTTTGCCAGTTTTTCAAAGAATTTCCAGCTTTGCCCGGGAAAACCTGGAGCGGGAAGAAAGCGGAAGTCACCCATTAATTACAATTTCAGCTACCAGGAGTAATAGTTGTATGATAGTTTGCGGCGCCCGCTGCCAAATAAGGAGAAGGCATAGTACACATGAGACAGAACTGATTTTTTTCGAGGCCCGGAAAAATCATTCCAGGAGGGTGATATGACCCCCCTTTCCTCAGCAAACGAATACGACCCCGACGGGATTCTGTGAACGATGGTGAACGATGCTTATTCCGAGTAGCAAACTAGGAACACAGCTATATAAGGAACATCGGACCAGTGAACAATTCAACAATGTTAGCAAGTGATTACAGGGCAGGAGCTGACTATACACCGATTGGACGGTTTACAAAAGATGACGCGACGAAGTATTGGTCTCCTCGTGTGATGTATTATCAGGTAATCATTTTGACGCAGCTTGAATGTAGTCGGTTATATATTACTTGTTCTCATCGGAAACGGTACCTCTTGCCTAACCTTAAAGCTTGTTTTCGAACACGGTTGTAGTATTCCTGAGCTTGAATAATTATACAAAGTGTCCAGAGGGGGGGGGGGTGGGAAGGAAGATTGCCTCTCTCCAACTTCCTTTAGATTGTACTTTGCTTCCTTTTTATACTCACTACCTTAGCCCCGTATACTTTCATAGGATATCATTTGCACATCTTAGTGGTAGTAGTCCTAGAAAGGACCATTTCGGTAGACTTTTCTTTCGCCGCACTTACCCTCTGTTTCTCCCTGGAATTCTACCACTCGAGTTTTCTTGTGAAATGGCGTTGTTTTTGTATGAGACATGAGGTTTTATCTTTGTTGCAGTGGGTGCCATACGTGTTGTTCCTACAAGCTGTTTTCTACTTAGTTCCAAAGTTGTTCTGGAAGCTTGTTGGCTCGCATTGGTGTCATGGTAAGTTTACATACAAATTGTGCTTTTCTCAGATCTACAGTATCATTCGCTGCGGACGCTAGGGCGTTTCACGGGGCTGGGTTTGTTGCGGCGCCAGCCGTTTTTTTTACTAATTGTGGTCTGCAAACTGCTAGCTTCCGCAATGAGTGGGGAACAAACTGGCGCCGCGCCAAACTAGCTGCCCTGAAACGCTCCAGCGTCCGCAGCGTAAGAGACTGTATATACATCCCAAGCGAAAGGTTTTATATTTCGTGACTCAAACGATTCATTTGCGAAATGGTACACACGCTTTTGGAACATATATAGTGATATAAGCACGGAATCTGTAAAAACCATAACCTGCTATTGTTTGGACAGATGTAAAAGGATAGTAAATGATTAGTCGAGAGGTTATGAAACGGTCCCAGTGGAAATATAACATTTTCGCTGTTCTAAATTGGGTGGTAGTGGAGTTAGTACACTTATGTTAGTTTGATGTTCATTCTTTAGTTATTCTGCGTCGGTTAGTCACTGGAAATGCGGCACTTAGAATGCCAGCGTTTCCAGCGAATACCTGCAAAACGCGAGATCGGTACCTATATTTTCCTAGTCGCTGGGAACGCTGCCGAAACATATCAGCGCACTCCTACGGCCAGCCGTACGCGTAACCATTGACACACCAGCTACTTGCCTGCACCCTCCCACGTTTGATTGTGGATGACTGTATGCTGAATATAGTGGCTATGACATACCTAAAGCGTGTCGAAAAGCGAGTGGGAGTAAAATTGACATCAGCCTCTTCCACGACGCTTCAACGCCACTGGTTTTGTTGGCGCGCAGTTTCAGACGGCGGGAGCGCTTCACTCCAACGCACGCGAGCCTGCCCACCTCGCTTATCAAAAGGTTCCAATTCTCAGGTGACCGAGTAGTGTGTTTAAAAGCTGCCCTTGACCCCTCTACTCTGACTTCCAGTGAAGAGCGGAAGCTACAACTAATGCACCTGGGGACCCTTTTTCCTCTTCTCCATTTTGGAACACTGACTTTCGTTTTCTGCTGAAGGCCTGCGTTGTTGTGGTGGTGCGACTCATATTTACGAAGTTATGATTCAGGAGTTGATCTGGAAACAGCTATTGTTGAAGCACAAAAGCTTCGCACGCTGGTCGGTGAAGACCGCGCGTCAGCTCTGAACAATCTTGCTGGTTTCATCCGTGACGTCTTGGAGTCAAAACGACGAAGGTATTATTAGGCATTCCTGTCTACTCCTGTGGCTTATGTTGAACTCGTCATTCAAATCGTTCGAAAACAACTTTCGGGTGCAGTACGGCGAGAGGGGGGCGCTTTGCACTTGTGCTACTTCCCACTGAAGTGTCAAGCCATCAAGTTTAGGGATCACCCGACACCTGATGTTAGGAGTGCCTATCAACTCTTGTAAAGCAATGAAATACTATGAAAATACTATTTGCTAAGGCTGCTCGACGAGCTTGCTGCAGCTTTACAAGGACTTGCAGGTTTCACCAGAGTGAGACTTGTAAATTGGAACCAGTGAAGCAACGAACAGTGCAAAATGCCCCCCCCCTCCCCAACCCACTCCTCGTCGTCAAACTGCGCCTTACTTTCGTCGTGAAGCCTTCATTTTGAATGTTCAGATCAGTGTTCGGTTCTTCATTAGCCTCTATTTGCTACGTCGTAACTAAGTGGCTTGAGGTTGTTAACGGATTTGGACAACTCTACATGCTTGCTTGTTTTGTGGGTGAAGGCGACTACCTATGGGGACTCCATGTGGGTTTTCTTGTTCAAGCCGACGCTTGTTTTTTCCTCTTAAACTTTAGAATTGTTTTTCAGCTGCTGAGCACTGTGCTAAATGGTACAGATAATCCAAGCGCTGGAGTGTTCCCAAGAATCGTGTTGTGTGATGTAACAAAATTTGTGAGTTCGTTTTCTTGATGTGATGTTTTTAACTAAAAACGTAACAGCTATTTTAGGCACTTGCTAATTTGCATCAAGTGAATATGCAATGTGTACTGATGTTGAATTTCATAAATGAAAAAATCTACACCTTCTTGTGGTTCTGGATCGTGTTTGTAACGGTGGCATCCTTATTATCCGCTATTAGGCAGACGGTGGCCCTCATTTTTCCGGTGTATCGATCACTCATTGCTGACAACTTTTTGCCTGTAAGTTTTACAGTTTTTGTTGCACTAAAG